CTTGCATACATGTTGTAGGGCTCAGATTCAAAAGTTCTAGAGCCAAACCATAAAATATGGAATGATTGTCGTAATAGGGTTAATGAATGTTCAGAAAACATCTTTGTTGTGGTCTAATGGATTCCTGCTACATGATTAATGAGATTAATCTTGATTTATTTACCAGATTCTATCCAGTTGTAGTTAGTTAGTGGGTACCTGGTAAAAAATTTCCTTGTAATGCAGTGCAGTGACTGTACACCAATATAAGTTGACAGAGCTGCTGCTGCTGCTGCTACTACTTACTACTAATAATAATACTACTGTCATTTTAATTTTGATTGTATGCTCATTATTCAGGCCTGATAAAAACCCGATTTAAATCGGTTTCCCGATTTTTTTTATTTTTCCCGATTTTTTCCCGATTTTTTTTTTCTTTCCGATTTAAAAAAAAAAAAAAAAAAAGTTTTTTTTTTTTTTTTTTTTTTTTTTTTTTTTACCAGATTTTTTTTTCTTCCCTTTTTTTATCCTGATTTTCCTGATTCCCCCCTTATTTTCTCTATTCTTCCCTATTTTGCCCTATTTTTTTCTCCCAATTTTCTTAATCGAAAGGGGGGAATGTTGTTAGATGCCGTTTTTTCCCCGCGAATCGCCTTTTTTTTTTTTTACTCAAGGGGGGCGTGGTTGAGGGGAAAACAAAAAACCTATTTTTTTTTTAGTGCTCACTATCACCCCTGATTATTATTATTATTAACATTCGTGTTATATTATCATTAAAAAATGTTTCAATTATTCATGTAGAACCATGGATCTTACATGTTTAGACTACATCACATACCTGTGCTACAGTCATATTGCAAAGGGAATCAAGTGAACCCATAATGGTCAAACTTACAAATACAATATCAGAGCAGGGAGGTGAGACTATATCACTTCCTGCCTGCCTGCATGTATAATGTCATACTACTTGTGTGTAGTATCAGTAGTATGTGCAACTAACATATTGTATAGATTCTAAAAAGCCCTGCAAATATGACTTTAAAGTTTGAATGTCTCATAAATTTATCTTGCTGCTACAGTATGTCTGCTTTTTATTATATTTTTTACCGGTAAATAGAAACTAGAAAGTGATAAACTGCCATGTAAAAAAAACTCAGGTTTAAATTTATTTCTAGGTTAGAATTGGGATAACTTGGTAGATCTTGGACTCATTATCGTTTTATTGTCGATTAAACTGAGTTTAATGATTATTGATTTGGACTTTTAACTTTGCTTGTTCTGAATTTTGCATGAAGGGTATTTGATTGAATGCTCCAATTCAAATGGTAAAATAGTTTTCAGTGTTGTACATGTAGGTCACAAATAATGGTTGTTTTTTAATCACATAAATTACTTTCAACAGAATTTAGCCAAATGATAATTTAATTTATAACATGTCCTTGAATATGTCCATCATGCCCTTCAAAGTTCACACAATGTTAAAGAACAGGTACTTGTACTATTATGAAGGAAATATTATACATTTATAGGCCTACAAGCACATAACTATTTTCCTTGGTATGCTCATAATAACAGATGTATGCACAAGTTAGGGCCTGTGTATACTGCTAATGCATGTAAGCTATATAGGTAGTCAGGTACATGTACATATAATTCATGAGCAGCACCCAACATGTAAGTATGTTTATTAAAAATAAAAAGCTCTGCTCCACATTAACTTCTACATGTATAATCTATGTAGGGGTCTAGATTGACATCTACTGTATGGGCTCTGTATTTATTTATATTTTATAAGGCTAAGTTTACTCTAATTTAAGAAATCAATGAGGTCCAGAATCTGGAATGGAGTTTAAGCATCTATAGTGGTCCAGTTTGAAATTGTGTACATGTAGGGCCTTGTTTAGCATCCCTAGCTCTCCACAGACATGTAATACAATATCAGGGTGGTCCAAAAAGCAAAATTCACACATGTAAAATTGCTTCTTGGAAGGGTGATGTGAACTGGTCCAATCTGAGTCATATTTGAAGCATTTTCAAGCAAACTTCAGGGCTAAGATTTCCAAAAAAATTATGTTGAGAATGACCTTTAACCTGTTACATGTTAAAATCTCTCATGAGGCCTTGTCTTCATCAGCTCGAGATTGCCAAATAACCCGCTATTTGAACTATCCCGATCGCAAAATATCCAGCTAATTTGCGTCTTCAATCAGCCCGCACTTGTAATTAGTGGGATATTTGGTCGAGATAATCATCCCAAAATATCTTGGGCTAGTTTGCAAAATATTCCGCTATTTGGCAAATATCCCACTATAGTATTTGTCCGGTGCGTCTTCACCAGCCCGAAGACTCGCACTATGACTGAACGCCGAGCAAAATATCTTGAGCTAATTTCGAGTTTCGAGCTGATGAAGACGCGATTTGTAACTTCAGGCTTAATTTTTCAAATCAGAAATCTCGGGCTATTTGATAATCTTGAGCTGATGAAGACATACCTGTGGACCACCTTGCTGTATATTGTATGCTGAGAGCCAGAAGGGCATTACACCTTAAAGCACTGTATGTACCTTAGTGTTAACACCCTTCTGGATCTCATCAGAGGACATATCTTATAAGATCTCATAATGTAGCTTTATAGTGTAATGTAGTTGCTTGAAAAGAATGCAAAAGGTGTAATAGTGATGTCAGTGAAATTACAAGGTCTTAGTTGATTTACTGTATAAATCTGAATGGAATTCAAGGTAATATTGAGCCTATTGAAGAACCTCCATATCCTGACAATGCTGTTCTCCATGGCTCTATGGCTCTATAACTATGTGATAAAATAATAATTTTCAACAATTTAGCAATTTGTGATCTGACATAAACTTTATAATGCTTGCACTCATTCCTATTTTGGGAAGATTGATGTAGCCATTCTTTGTACGGACACATAAAGTAAAACTATAAACAAAGATTTTTAGTGTTAAATCGAGACTCGAGTTCAAGCAGCTGGGTTCTTCATCTATGGCTGACTCATCAGCGAACCAAACAAGAATGTGTCTGCATCACCAGACTAAACTATTGACAGTAGTATCAATTGAAATGCATTATTCTGACCGAAGCTGAGACTCAAGAGAGGGGCAGGTGGAAAGGGAATCGGGATAGACTGTGTGATGGTGGCGCCTCTAACCAAATAACATCCATGCAGGCAGGGTCTCCTTTCTCTTTATGTAACTCTAGATATATCAAACCTCAATCCATCCCTGATGAGCTTAACTCAGTCTCAATATACTTGTAGCTGGGGGATGTTGTACATGAGTCATGGAGCAGTGCATGCATGACCAATATGTGAATCTCTATCTGTTGCATGTATGAGATGGAGACAACGTTCATATAGGAGAATGGGGGAATGCTGCCTGAGATTAAAGTTTTTCATGAAATTGGCCATTAGATGAATAACAGTGATTTTGACAATAATAATACATACATGTATATTGAATAAATGGGTCCAAAATCTGGTAATTTACAATCGTAAATTAATTATTACATCATATGTACATAAAGTATTATTATCCTATTTAATTTATGTTTGTGTATTACTGTACTTTGTATCGCCATTTCCTTGCGATACTTTTCACATACATGTGTCCTAAAGGTAATAAACCCTTTAAAAAAAATTATTGCCGTTTTGTTACCTTAAAGAGAAGGTTGAGTTCTGGGAAGAGGTGAAAAATAATTTGTGAGCATTACTCATTCTTATTATGCAAGTGTGAAAGAACATCAGTTAAGACATGTTCCCTGAAAAGCATGGCTCTTCAAATGCCTTCATATTCTAAATATGCATGTAACATCGTAAAAATTGGGGGGCCGGCTTTTTACGTCACGTGTTCGTGTAGTCCCATATACATCTTTCCGTGCAAGTGTTTGTAACTTTACCAAGACTTGGCCAAATTTCTTATCATTTTGATGATTCCAGAACCTTGCAATACACACAAATTCTTATATGCTAGATGATCAACCTTTTCTGGTCGGTTCCACACCGTTTCTTTTACAATGCAATCGCATGACCAGAACTCAACTTCATCTTTAAAGCGGGGCTGCACACTTACATTGTAGGAGGTCCAAATTGAGAATGTTAGGGTCTTTGTAAATGTACATGTACATGTACATGATGTATGGCAGTTGTCTGTATTGTGTTACAGTACTATGTTATCAAGTACTAATCGGGTACATATTCCTTCTATCGCTAAAGTCATTATGAGTATTTATGAGCAGTGATTTACAAGGAATTACTCTACCTGTAGAAAATGCATGTACAGTTTAACAACTAAATTATTTATTCCTTGTAAATTTGATATTTTTGTGTGTTTTTTGTACCTAAAGAATGAAAGGTTAAATGGTTGAGTTACGGTCTTTGTTGAATACTTTTAGATGTCAACAAATATTAATCAGGACAAATCAATTTTTTACATGCTTTAAATTTTAAAATGGTATTAATAATTTAGTTGTATGTCAAGTTTTCAAATACTGCATGTTTAAAGTGGTCTGTTTGGTAGTACATGTAAATGAAATGATCATACATTTGTTTTGAAACCTTTATCAATTTGAACATGATATATGAGAATTATAAATTGTTTTTGTTAATTCCAATAAGATTGACTTAAAAATGTTGAAACTACTTCTCAGTACATGTACACTGTACTATAATTTATTTTTTGAATGTGTGCCATATCCATAACTTTCTCATTAAAAGAATATTTGCATTAGTTCACATTTGATTTTTTGTTGTTCATGTGGCAACATCACAAAGGAGGTCATTGAACTTGTAAAGTTGCATGTGATCAGGCATAGATTTTAAAATCGGTTAGGTCTCATAGTTTTGGGTTCAGACTCTTAGAGTTCAGAGTTGCAGTTGAATTTGGTTATTGATGGGAATTAATGTTGGAGCAATGGTCGCTGCAGGTTGTGTCATAGTACCATTATTCTTGCAGCAATTTATTAACCAACAAAACATTATCTTTATCATTTCATTCTCGGCACAGTGCGGCAGAAGATACCCGGCAGAAAGGTTTGAGGGTAGCCATTAAGAAGCTGTCCAGACCGTTCCAAACAGTCATACACGCCAAGAGGACCTACAGAGAACTGCGCCTTCTCAAACATATGAGACATGAAAATGTAAGTCATTTTGACCTTTGTGCTTCTGTGTGATACATGTATCCTTTATTGAGTTCGGTCAACGCTAGAGACCTACATGTACATGTAATCATTTATAAATTGTAGACACTGTAATTTTATCTGTGGCAGTGTGTTTACACACAGACATGTACCTCTGCTGTGTCAATTTGTTTTATATTGTTTTTGTCACCTTCAACTTTCATAATCGCTTTAGAAAGCATTCTGAAAAATTGGGGTATTTCAATACTAATGTTATGGCTACTACATCTATTTCTGATACTGCTTCTATTATTTCTACTATTAATATCTGTGTATATGTCTAATCCTATCACGGCGCTCTAGCATTTCAAGGAATTAATTCCTGCCACGTACCCATTTGCATCACCTGGGTCTAGTGTGGCAAATGTAGATTGATGTCTTGCCAAGGGACATTAGTGTCGCAGCGGGACTCGAACCGTGGACTTTGTGATCCACTATCCAGTGCCGTATCCACTGGACCACGACACCTCTACATATTTCTTCAACTTGTACTAATTCTATTTCTTGTACTTCTGCTTCTACTTGAATATACTACCACTTTGTTTACTACAAGTACTACTTTGACTTGTACAGCTTGTAATTCTGCTAATACAACGTTTCAAAAACAAATGTACATGTATCAGTTTCATTTAATAGTAAGTAGTGTGTATTATCATTATATCATGTAGTAGGTCCATGATTATATCAACAAATGTTGATTGCTTCACGCTGGACATAGTGAGCTTCCTGTTCCTGTTCTTCTTCTTCCTCTTTTTCTGTCATTGATGATTACATCACACTTTGTTGGTCATATAGGTAATCAGCCTGCTTGACTGTTTCACCCCTGACCGAGTCAACTTCTCAGATGTTTACATGGTGACCCATCTCATGGGAGCCGACCTTAACAACATCATCAAGTGTCAGAAACTCTCTGATGACCATGTCCAGTTCCTCATCTATCAGGTTCTCAGGGGCCTCAAGGTAAGTGTGCTATTTAAGCAGGGTTCTAGTTCTGGTCACAATAAGTAAATTCAAATAAAAGTTGTTGAATATATCCTCATATTCAATAATAAGGACATTGTTCTGAGTAAGATAAGTCAACATCAAGTGTCTCTGACGACCATGTCCAGTTCCTTATCTATCAGATTCTCCGGGGCCTCAAGGTGAGTAGGTAGTTGATCAGGGTGTTGTCAATGATAATTATAGTTCTGGTTGCAAAAAGGAGAGTGCAAAAAAGATGATTTTATATATATATATATATATATATATATACATCTGTATATGTTCTCATATTGCATCGCCTCCTTAAATGATGCATATGTTTGACTGCGCAGTGTAACTATTTAAGAGGAATGTCCAGTAAAGGCTACCAATCGTTTGCTTGCTACCAAACACTCTTATAATCTTAACCTAGAACAGAGGTATAATAGTAGGTATAATAGTGGACCTAAAATTATTCACCATGTTTTCCATGTATTCCTTCTAGACCGACCATTTATTGCTCTTTCTTTCTTTCTTTCTTTCCTAGTACATCCATTCTGCTGGTGTGATTCATCGAGATCTCAAGCCCAGTAACATAGCTGTCAATGAAGACTGTGAACTCAGGGTAAGCTGAATGTTCTCTTAAAAGACTTAGTGAAGTCAAAAATAACTAATCAAATTGAGGACAAGTCATTGATTAAGTTCTGTGTAAAGCTGGTCATGCATTACATTTTCAATTAATTTCCTGTGTAGTTGTACGCCATCTTTGTTTTGTTTTTGTCGTCTCTTCCTTTCTTTCTTGAATTTGAATTTATTAATTTTACAAATTAGTTTATAATATGTCCAGATTTTGTAACTGCCATTTTATTTATGTATTATGTCCAGATTTGGTATTTGTCATTTTGATTATATATTGCAGGAATGTTTGTTATGATCAATTTTGCAAATGATCAATTTTTTACATCGCATGCCAATGCACGCAGGAAATGAGAAAGTACAAATATCCTTCATTTAGGTTTTCAGTGAGTTAATTAAAGGTAATTTTTAGTTTTGCCAATGAAACAATTGTAGATAACTGGCTGAAAATACTTCTTTATGGTAAATAAGCAATTGGTGGGTTGTGAGGACTGGGAAATCTGTACTAACTTGCTGAAAACTTGCTGAAAATTACCTTTTTTGAAAAGCACAGCCAAACATAAGGAAGAAGCATGTGTTTTGTTTTTGACATATGCTAAAGATGTCTAGTTGTATTTTATTGTCTTTTTCCGCTTTTTCATTTGGTCATGAAATATTTTAAACCAAATTCATAGGCAGAAAATTATCTGAAGTCTTGAAGAATTAGCGTAAATTTAGTTTGATTCTATGGTTTTTTTCTCCGCCACTACTTATGACCACCTGTAAACCCTTGTATGACAATGTTAGGATGTATTAAATATAGGTGTATATATGCAATCATTGTGTCACACAGTTGAATAGGCTACCTTTTGAAATACTAAAACAAAACAGCTGAGGTTTATTCCAGTCCAGATGGAGGCTGTCTATGAGAAAACTGTATTATCTTATGGACATTCATACAAAAGAGTGTGTACTATTGAATGTGCTAGGATTTCCTTGGAAAATGACTGAGGTAGTTTCAGAGGCTTTTGAACACCATTATAAAGCATCCTTTCACGAATGGTATTACTTGGAAAAAATCTTGAAATACAGTTCGATCATCCTACGTGAATGTTGCTTGAGAATGTAATTAGTTGACAACTAGCTTAGTCTTAAGGTATTATGAATATGGACCCTGGTGAATACTTTGAATATTTTTATTCTTGCAGTGGAGTCTATAAAAGAATACATTTTAAACCAACATGAAACAGTATTCCATGGGTTAATGTTGTTATTCTCTTGTTATCAGATCCTGGACTTTGGATTAGCACGTAGCACAGACGATGAGATGACAGGATATGTAGCTACCAGATGGTATAGGGCACCTGAAATCATGCTCAATTGGATGCACTACACTGAGAAAGGTACGTTGATAACAACATTGTCAACAGGTGGTCTTGGGATGTTGTTAGTGGAACTATCAGCGCTCTGTCTTTGCATGCTAGCTAACTCTTACAGCCCTTGAGTCAAAACTGAGTCACTTCTTTCAGATGGTGATGTTAAAGGCAGTCCCACATGTAAATAATCATAACTGTTTATTGCACAAAGATCTGTAGATCTTTAAACATACAAATTTGTAAAACTCTAGGGTTTTGTTAAATAAAATTTGTTATATATAATGCAAGTTTGAATTCCATAATAAATTTGGGAGCAACTGGAGAATTCCCCACCTCCCTTGAAGTAACCCTAACCTTAACCCCAATCCTAGGGCTTAAACCTGATCTCAATCATTACCTTAAAGTTATGAATGTTTCGAAACTGATATTGTTAAAAATTACAGAAGAGGTTTATCTAATTTGTGATCTAGGTCTTACATTGAGAAATTACTATTTTTACACATTGGGTAGAAAAATATATATCTGTTGTTATTAGCTTTAACTTGCTATGTTGTGCAATCTTCATCGGACCTTTGACATAGATTATGCTGTTGCTGATGGAGTATGATTGTGTATTAGCTTCTCAGGTTCCATATGGTCTTCTGTGGCGATGATAATCTTGAATGCAATCTTAATAATGATCAGGGCTTGAACCCACATTCTTTTCATTTCCAGTCAAGTGATTAAACCATTAGACTGCGACACCTCTACCGCAATATAATCTTGTTTCATGATGAAATCATGTTTGTTTTCTCTACAGTTGACATCTGGTCCGTAGGCTGTATCATGGCAGAGCTCCTCACACAGAAAACCCTCTTCCCAGGGTGTGATCGTATCCTTTTATTATTCACTTAAAATTGAAAATTCATTCAATCTTTCACCAGAATGCTTCTCTGATTTTTCTCTGATTGAATTTAGAATTGTTAGAAAGTTAATTAAGATTGGATTTTCCTTTAATGCCTTTAATTTGGACTCCCTGGAGACTTTCAATTGGGAGGTGTTACTCAAGATATCTATCTTGGCATTTTATTTGAAACTTGCAATATAACTTCCTTAACAGCCTTTAATATTCAGACATAGACCAACTGAATAAGATCATTGCTATCACAGGGAAACCAGACGAGACCTTCTTACAGAAGATCGCAAGTGAGAGTGTAAGTAGTTTATCTTCTGTGGTTGTTTAACCTAGTACATGGCTCATTTTCTGATGAAAAAAGATGTGGTCATCCAAGAAAAACTACCCCCCCCCCCTTCCTGTGATGCCTATGTAATTTTTAAGGATCTCCAAATGCTAGTGTAAGCACCATCTTTTGTTGCTATAATTAATTGGTTGAATTTTTTTTTCTTTCAAGTTCGTGCATCTTATATGTCTGGCCTTAAACATTTGTAACTGCCTGTATAAAGTTTTGTTCATGTTCATGTATCTTGAAAGAAAGAAATATGGACAAAAACTTTCCATAGAGTTTGGAAAATGCTGAGTAGTATGAAAAACAATTTTGATAATTTGCTTTTAAGTGCATTGCAGCCATTAGCTTAATTTGGCATTTGGCATAGCAAAGAAATACTCATTGCATGTGTATGAGGCCTTATGTGCTTAAAATGTTTATCTCTTTGGTAACAGGCAAAGACATACCTGATGAGCATGGCTGCCTACCCTAAGAGGGACTTCAGCACTATCTTCCTAGGGGCCAGTCGCAAGGCTGTCGATCTTCTGGAGAAGATGCTACAATTGGATGAGGACAGAAGGTAGGCATCTATCCTTAATCTCTTAATGTGTGACCAAGCATCACAAAACCACCAACAAGTCTTCTGATATGATTTTTAGTTTGGATCTGATTCTAAAAGAGATGATCCTCTGCTTTGAAGTAATATATAAATCATCCCAATTGGATGTTTCTAACTAAGTAAAAAAGGGAGAAGAATTACCATTTATTTAGAATGTTTATTTAGAGAAAATTCTGTAGTCTATTTAAGCACTCTGATCCACAAGGTACTGTGCAAGATGACAAAAGGAGGATTGGAGCAAAGGAATTTTTGCAAAGGGATTATCAAATCCTGAAACTTGGCACACCAATTAACTACAGTATCCTCTTATTTATTTTGACTAAGTATGAATGCAAGAGCTTGATCTATTTATACAGTTATAGGAAATGAAAATGGGGCCAGTAGCCAGGATCATAATGAATTAAAATCAATGCAAGCAACTCAAGATAAGACAGACAAACATCTACACAATAGAATTGCCTAAAATACAGGTTTTAGAATATTTGGTGCTTCAAAAAGTTGATTACCTAGTACATATAGTCTTTCAGGAAATACAAAAACTATACTTTAACCATCCGGACCGTTGCCTTTTTTGAGCTCTAAATGAAAATCCCACCATATGAATTTTTTATGGTTTTGTGGTGCCCAGTCAAATCTGGCTTTCATAGTAATATGCAGTTGTACTCCAAACTAAGTAGTACTATAGATTGGCTGAATGCCCTTAGATGATGGTAAGTATGATGGTGATGATAACGATGTTGATGATTATGTGATGATGATATGGGAGAGGAGGAGGAGGAGGAGGAGGAGGAGGGTGGGGGGGTGGTGGTGGTGGTGGTGGTGGTGGTGGTGGTGGTGGTGGTGGTGGTGGTGGTGGTGGTGGTGGTGGTGGTGGTGGTGGTGGTGGTGGTGGTGGTGGTGGTGGTGGTGGTGGTGGTGGTGGTGGTGGTGGTGGTGTGGTGGTGGTGGTGGTGGTGGTGGTGGTGGTGGTGGTGGTGGTGGTGGTGGTGGTGGTGGTGGTGGTGGTGGTGGTGGTGGTGGTGGTGGTGGTGGTGGTGGTGGTGGTGGTGGTGGTGGTGGTGGTGGTGGTGGTGTGGTGGTGGTGGTGGTGGTGGTGGTGGTGGTGGTGGTGGTGGTGGTGGTGGTGGTGGTGGTGGTGGTGGTGGTGGTGGTGGTGGTGGTGGTGGTGGTGGTGGTGGTGGTGGTGGTGGTGGTGGTGGTGGTGGTGGTGGTGGTGGTGGTGGTGGTGGTGGTGGTGGTGTCGTCTATCAATCTACCTACCTATCTTTCTATCCATCTACCTATTTACTTCTTTAATTACTGCAGGCTGAGTGCTGAGCAGGCTCTTCAGCACCCCTATCTGTCTAAGTACCATGATCCAGATGATGAACCAATTGCAGCCATGTTTGATGATAGTCAGGAGAACAGCGACATCGTAATAGATGAATGGAGACGTAAGTATCGTATTAGCTCAAGTGCTAGCTGTCTGACAGGAATTATTTTACAACTGGTTCAAAGTTATTGAAAAACGCCTTTGTTTAATACATGTAGCATCACATTGGGATTGGTTGGGAGGGCCCAAATATTACAGTAAAGAATGGAGACATAAGAATCAATCAAATTAGTCCCAAATTGTAGGCTACCCGGCAGGAATTGTTTTGCTATCGGTTCAAATTTAGTGCAATAATCTTAGTTGCATGCTAGGGGATGATTTTAGAGGATCAAAGGATCGCAATAGATGAATGGAGCCATCCTCACCACTCCTAAGTTCAGGCTCCTCGACAGGTTCTTATACACTATTGTCCATATGCAAAACGATAGGCTTTGGGCATCCCAGAGGAACGATTAGGAAGGACCAGAGTACTGAATTAATTACAGAAAAAATATGTTTTTTAGGACGAACACAGATTTGCGCATTGGAAGTATATATTAACATCTCAGAGAGAATTTACTCTTAATTTTTGTGTAATGTCCCCATAGTTGATATGAGTTCCAAATGTGTTATGTGCTGACGAAAAACCTACCAGGCCAGGCGTAATAAATAGCTCATTTTAACCGTTAACCTAAAGCCACTCAAGAAGAAATAAATGTTAAGCAGTTTGAAGGCTAGCATTTTGCCGTAATTCTGTACCTTTATATCTTATGTACAGTGTTTATACAGTCATGTAGTTCTTAATAATTTCATTGAAAAAAATACTAATCTTTAAATCTTGTATTAGTATCTTGTCCAATGTTGCTTGATATTTAAGGCTTTGTTAACCTCTCGTGCTGTTCCTTTTCTCCTCTGTCTTGTAGAACGCGTTTTGAAAGAAGTAACAGAATTTGTTGCAGACCCAGCTCCGATGGATTGAGTACATCAGCGACTAAAAAAATCATCGGTTAGAAGTCACTTGAGCAGTAACTCTGTATTGAAGTATAAGAGTTAACGTGGCTCCAAACTGATGTTATGAGAGCTTATATGATTATCATGCATAATTACAGAGTCCATTGTCAGTGTGTATTAAATGACTTATTAGCTCAGATATGTGTCAAAGTGAAGATTAGCAAGATTCATATCACAGACTTGTATTTTATGTGGATGAAGACGTACGAGAGGAATCTTTACTGTGAAAACCACCCAAAATGTGTCATTTGTTGATCTTTCTGTTCAACAAATCATTTCTTTTGTCAAATTATATAAATACTTATATCAGCATGAAGTGTGTTGAATGTAGTATAGCATTGGCAATAATTATGTTCAAAGAGAATTGGCTGGGATGGGATTTTGGTAAGGATAGTTTCTCAGTTCATCATCTAGTATCAAATAATTAAAAAATTGAAACAAAATCATGTGGAAATTTCTTCTTGCTTTAACACTTAAAATGGGGTTTGATTGGGACCATTTAGTATCCATGAAAACCACCTACATAACCAATTACCAACAAACACAAAAAAAGCCCTGAAATTAAATTCTTCATTATTCTTAAATTTAATTGTAATCTCAGATGAGATTTGGTTACCCCTTTTCCATGTGTGACAATGAGTGGTGGGGGGGGGGGGGGGGGGGGGAGGGTTGAGCTTAATAAATGATGCAAAACTGATTGAGATACCAAAAAGCTTGATATCTTCAAAACAATGTAAGCTCTTGGTACATATTTCATGTATAATAGCTGGTAAATAAGTACTGGTACCATATTCCAATGAATATATTTGTTGTATAATAGCATCACCATGGGTACATTAAGTGCATAAAAAGATGAAAATTATTAGTTATTGGTTAATAGGAGAATATTCAGGTATGGCACTGACTTTGCAATAACATGTTATGAGTGTATAGGTGTAGAGGCATATCAATGTATCATTTGTCTACATGTCTTGTAGTGGTGGCTCCTACCACGAAGGTTCACTTGTATATACACAGCTTGCATACGGCCCCTTTCTTCAGATAAGAATAGTGTGATCAATTGTTGTGCTTGTGGGCTTTTTAGCATGTCTTTCTGAACCAAGTACTAAGCAAATAATGTCAAAAAAGTGTCTGTATATTTTCAAGCATAGAGAGTTGCATCTTATAGAAAGTAAAAACAGCATGTTTTTGCCACAATTGCCATATTATTTAGCATATTAGAATGTTTTTTTGCTTGCTCCATGTCCCGCAAGTGTTACATTCATGTAAATGATCTCATTATTCTACAACTTTAACTTCAGTCAGTTTCTTCTAAATAAACAAATCACATTATGACTAATATTAAAGATAATTATGTAATAATGATAATGATAACAACAGCAACAACAATTACAACAATAATAATAATAATGATAATAATAATTGTAATAGTAAAAAAAAATTAGAACTAGATTTATAATTATTATAAACTACTTAATTTTATCAATTAATTACTTGCTATTTCCTTACTGCTGAGGTAATTATTCATTGCATTCTTCATAGCAATACTTAACTTTTAACTTAACTGGAATCCATTTAAGAAAGAAATGTAAAAAATTAGGTTTTGCATGAACAATTAGACATGTCTATCGTACTTAAAGGGAGTGCTTATGCCAATCTGTCTCTAGTGTATTGACACTGCCTAATATGTTAGTTGTTTCTGTCATGGGACTATGCATACTGATGCAGGAATGTTGATTGCAGCATATGTAAAAATACACCATCCCCGGGAATTCATTGTTATCACAAAGCTAACAGATGAAAAATATTCTCTATTAAATAAAACATGATGCATTTCACTTAACAAGGTCACTGACAATGCCCAAACTGCTATGTGTATACCCCTATTTATGTTTTTCTCATCCCTATCAAGATGAATTAATTCATAGAAGCAATGTTGATTTTGTATGATTATTTTGTGTTTTGCTCCTAATCTTCATTATTTCGCTGTGCCTTTATCATAGAATCAACTCTGCTACAGAATGCTGTTTTATTTTTACACTAGCGATGTACATGTATATACATATATGTGTATAAGTTGAATTGTTACCATCCCACTTCTTGTAAATATATTGTGGAATGTTATTTAGCTGTTTTATATGTAAGAAAGAATATTGGATTTGTTAATAGAAAGAAAAATCCTTGGAATGCCAGAATATCTTTGAAGTCGCATAGTATATAGTGTTAAGTCATGAGCTTTGTATGTACATGTATGTATGAATATAGGAACCGATACCCATGTTTCAAGAAGTGAAAATGGTCTTACACTAACATTTTTGAACGTTTCTCTCGTTGAAAAAGTGATTGTCCTGGTAGTGGTTGGAGAGGTAGTCTTGTTGAATTTGTCAGTCTTGTAGCAAAGTTCACTGTTTAAATATGAAAATAATGAATTAAGCTTATCTATCTACATAGTACCTTGAAGTACAGACGACCCGTATTATAGATTGAACTTATAAACAAAGGAACTACGTACATGCACAACAAATTATTTGTTATGTGGGCATGTTAATTTCCTAGTAATGTACCGTACAGGAGATACTGGAAGATTGTGAAATCCTATTCTAGTTTTAGAGTTTTAGACTTTTAACACACATCACTGAACTATTTTTCTAATAAATTAATCTAATTTAATAATGAATTCAAAATGATTATTTTGTAAAGTGTTCGACAGGATAAGACAATTACACCATTGTAATTTTTGATCAGTTAGAAAACCAATCAGAATTCGCTATCTTTCCCAATTTTTCCAACAAAAACTTGAAATTGATTAGTGATATAATAAAGAATAAAGAAGAAAAAGTATTGAATTGTCATTTTAACATTGTTCACAATCAGGCAGCCTATTTTATCAATCCAATGATCACATAAAAAGAGACTAGATGAACAGATTGCAGTTTTGAGGTTGCTATAGTACTACAGGATTTGGGTGCTGTAAATAATGTAACCAGTTATTGAGATATAAAAAGCAAACTGCATTCAACCTTAACACTGGTTCTTGTTGCAATCATGAATATTGTAATTATTTAAGAAGTCTGTACGTGTGTTCATGTTATGTCAAATTAAATGTATATGAAATATTCATTCTGCTATTAAAACATAAGTGGATACCTTTAATATTGAACTATGTTATGCATCATTGTGTTCACTGTTGAAATTCAATAAAGTGCTCATGTCATCTAGCTTGTTTGGCCATCAGTAGCTTGGCGAAAGCAATGATAATATGAATATCTTGTATTTAGGATTCCTCACATATCACTCGTACAAGAAAGATGAAATGGTACATTGTCAGTTTAGAGCCAGAAGGTCGTTAACCCTGTGTAAAATGATCCAGTAATGCCCTTCTTGCCCCAAACAGATCATGTATTATTGTAACCCCAAAACATATACATATCAAGGGGTCAGTGACACAAAGACTAACTCCATTTTGGCCATTTTGAGAAAGCGTGGTTTATGTGTCGCTGAGCACTTGGGCCTTAAGGAGTTAAGTCTATGTTTCACTAGCCATCGACTTCAATGGGGCGTTGGATGGAGCTAAGTCTTTGTGTTTCCTGGAAAGCCCACATTTTTCTGCACATTTTGATATCAAATACTCATTTTGGCATTTATGTCTTTGTGTCACTGAACCCTCGATATATCATTGTTATTATCGACATATGACCACCCATACAAAGGATGGATATTTCAAAAATATCATTGTATATATTTACTATTTCATATTATTATTGGAAAATAATGACAAGATTTGATAATCAAATGAACAGTAAAAAATCCAAACAAATTCAAAGAAAAATGTGTGAGTAGCTTCAATAACTTTATTGATACCTGACAAAACATAATCATTAGGATTTACATCATGATGTGATACATTGTTGTTTAAGGTTTTTCCTTTTCTTTTCTTTTTTACAGATGCCCCCCCCCCCCCCTTTTAACCCACCAAAAAAGATAAATACACATGTATTACTGAGGAATTACAATAAACATATAAGTGAATATAAAGATAAAAGGCTAAAAGAAATTAATCCAGAATATACCACATGACATATATTCTTTCTATAAACTTTTCTGAGGACAGATTCATAAATACATATTCTCCATATCATTACTTCTTTTCTCCATTTCAAATAAAAAGTTTAAAATACTTGTTCATTCTTAAGAATGTAAAACGAATGACTTAAATATCATGTCTCATTAGATGTCACTGGGGGGGGGGGGGGGGGAGTATAGACAGAAACTGACATGCAGGATAGCCATTATGCCAAATATTTTACTTAATGTGATTTTTAAATAGAATCTGAATAGTCTGAAACATCTCAATTCCCGTTTCCTGTATATACATGTATGAATAGCCTACCCTAAGCCTAAACATCCAATTCATAACTGCACTTCTTGCACATAATAACCCTTTGTTTTATTATGAGCATCAGCAGTGTTGTCTGACTCCAGCATTAAATAGGTTTTTTTTTTTTTTTAAAGTGGCCTTATAAAATAATAATTCATTTGATGAAGGTCTCAACAAGTGAGCCTGATGTACAACACCACTTTAGAAATCACCATGTTTGCAAAGAGTTTATGGAATTATTTCACATGAGAAGAGACGAGCAAAGCCACGTTCTCTTGTAACATCTCTCAAATGTCCTTGGGGTCTCAAATTTGTTCCTACAATCATCGGAAAAAGTCTTTCTTAAAGCTGTAGTTATCATCGCCGTCATCATCACTGTCTCCTCGACCCGACTGGAAGAAGTCAAATGCCTGGGTGAGTTCATCAGACAGAACAGTCGCCAGTTTATCTAGAAAAAAAAACAAAGAATGAAAATAATTAAAATTGCTTTCAACCTCCGAGGCACATGTAATGGCAAAAACATAAGAAAAAGAAAATGAATATAAATATTGATCAAATTCACATTCATCCGTTGACAAGCACAATATTCTGTCACTGATAGTATTCAAGACTCAAGACCTACATGTACTTTTACAAACTCCTTCAACCCTGGAAAATAGACGAGAGATTTTTTATACATATCTAGAGAATCTTTGCTAAATTACATTTGATACAAATTGTAGCAGGTCTGTAAAAGAATAAGATATAAATAAGATTTATGTTACTGGAAATCAAACTTTTCCTCAAGACTGGAGAAGAATGTTGCCTGTACGGAATTTCTTAAGTTGAGAGGAAAAAAAAAAAGAAAAAAGCTGCAACATGTGACCATGTATTTTATGGGAAACAAAATAGACTTTAAAAAAAATGGAAGAAAAAAAAACAAGTAAAAATAATTAAACAAACAAAAAACAAACAAAACAAATATGTTCATCTTACCAGACTTTTTCCTCTTCTTGAGTATTTTCTTGAAAGCAAGCTTGGATGCTTTGTTGAGCTGTTGGTTGCCAATAGGGGAGTTGGAGTCTACTTTGCTGGACTTTCCCTTCTTGAGCTTCTCCACTTTCTCTCTTTTGCTCTTTGCTGCTTTGGCTTTGGATTCTGGTACTTTGACAGTTACTTCATTAAGCTTCAAAAAGAAATCAATCATAACAAATTAAAGAAGTATAAATGATTTTACATCATATCAAATTGTCAGTACATGTCTATGTGTTAAAATAGCTTTGCTTACAAAGGACAAATCTGGTATGTACTTGCAAAAAATCATGAAAATATCTGGTACTGTAAGGCACTTTATTTTTCTTAATGGCACACAAAGATAGAACAAAATCAGAAAACATACATTCCTTATCAATTTTCAGTTATATAATGGCTTGGAAAATTTCTGATCTAGTACATTCTTCTGCAATCCTTTAACATCGCATCAATTTTTCATTCTCTGAATATGATTAGAATTAGATTATCCCAAACAGGATATCAGGGCTTCAAATGTTGGTTTCATGTTAGAAAAGCTGCTAACTGGCCAATTTCTGCAGCAAGCCTTTTAAATCTTGACAGACTTGTTTACAATAGCTCATAAACTAGTTTAATTGCTCCATTTCTTTTACCTCTTCTTCTTCATTATCATCTCCCATTTCATCGCTCTCCTCTTCTTCATCATCCTCCTCCTCCTCTTCCTTTTCTTCATCCATCTCATCTTCTTCTTCTCCTTCTTCCTCTGCCTCCAGTGCTTCATCATCAACAATCCCCTCTAACTGGCCGATGGTCTCTATTTCCATCCCTCTGGCTGTAGGTTCATGTCTTAACCCTGTAGAATTCAAGAAATATGCATTTATTATCTATTCATTAACCCAGGGATTAACGATTGCAAAAACATTCTTAGCATAAAAATTACTTTTTAATGCATGAATGCAACATTTCACTATAATTTTAGCATGCTTAAGTTCAATTTCATTTTGACATTTTGCTGTAAAGGGAGAGGGAACAAAATTATATTTTATACACGGATAAATCGCACATAAATGTCATATTAAATCAGTTACAAGTTGTACATGTGGAAGTACATCGCACCAAGGATACCTATGTCCACATACCTTTGAGGATCTTCTCATCTTCTTTCTCTAATGAAGCTACATTGAATTCCTGTCCCAGTTGTGTAACTATGGAAGCATCTATGTGACTTGGTAAGCTATGCTGTTCTGGTGGGTGTGTGTAGTATGTGATCTTACCACTGAAATAAAGTATAAGAAAAACAAAAGAAGAAGAAAAAAAGTAATGTAAAGACGAAATAAAGTAATCACAAATGGGTTCTTCTTATTTTGAATAACTGCTTGAGTGATTATGGTATAGAGCACAAGTAATATTTATTAGAATGATGCAAGATGAAATTATATAAACCACATCAATATATTACTAATTATAACAAATTCAATCAAACTGAAAGGTAATACAAAGTTTTGGTATGGGGTCACGAATTTGGTTCAAATGAACATATTGGAAGCATATGCGATCCTACAATATTCAGTGAACATTTTCGCATTTGAAATTGAGTCTACAGTTATGAAATTGTAAATAATAAACTCTTTATGTTGTATAGCTCCCTCTCAAGGTCAAGATATTAATTAAGCTATAAAATAATGTTTCTTGACTAAAATCGACAGATTAGCTTGGAAATTATATACCACAACTACATATTCTGAGAAGTTCATGGTCGCAGCTATCATTGTACGGCCTAGGCACTATTTGAAATTTATTAAAATTTACCGGGAGCACCGGTAAATTGTTGTATTTAATTTTTCTCGAAAATAGAAGTGTCTTTGGGCCCAAATTTTCATATGCTTTTAATACATCCACAGGGGCATCCAAATATATCAAAATTGTAAAGAATCACTATCCACCCAATTTTCAAAATTTCCCAAAACTTTGTATTATTCCCTTTAATCAAATGTAATGTTCATCCTTAAGCATTTTTCTAATTTCATTATGTACAGTAACACAGGCCTTGTTGTAGTTGTTACTGTTGAGTATTTTTACCACAGCTTGGTCATGTCTTTGATTTTGGGCTTGGCTCTGGCCACCCTCAACTTTGCTTAACTTTTAGAAAAAGTCTGTGCTTGCAGACTAGCAAGTTAAACTAAACTATCATCCTTACGTGTTCCAGTCTTGTAATATGATTTTAGCTGCACCTTCCACATCGACTAAGCCTCCTTTCTTCAGTTTTCCATACCGCCTTGCCAGTAGTGAGAGAAAGTCATCGACATTGCTGAAGTTTGGGATGTTGTAGTGAAGCATGAGGGATTGTTTTGTACATCGCTTCAAGATGGCATCTACAGGAGCCATCGGATCTGATATTGTTTCAAGCTGTCCATGACAATAAAGGTGGAAGAAAGTGTAAATATCCCATAAAACATTGTTGTACGTTGTTCCCTTACTCTCAATGATATGGTTTAGCAATTTCCAGCTCTAGATGAGACCTTGTTACACCACATCTTTACCAACTTATCCTATCCTTATTCCTGTCTTTCCAGAGATAAATCTACAATTTATTGATCTCCTCCATAGGCCTGTTGGATATTATCTTCTAAAGACTCAAGTCATCTCATTATCAAATGGGTTAAAAGCAGGGGAAACCCCTTCTCCCCAGGAGACAGTCAAGAACTTCTAGTAAGTAGGTGCCTGACATTTCAATTGATTGCAGTTGTACTTTACAGGGTACATTACATGATCCTGTTATGTAAAAGTTGCACATAACAATACAAAAGTGTGTTTCTTGGCACCAAATTCTTCTTTAGTCACTATTACATACCACAACATTACATACATAAGTTTGATTAGAGTCTGTGCCTACCTTGACACAATTTCTTAGGACCATGGCAGATTCACTGTTGCCTGTTGCCATGACAACACCAGGACAGTCTAGAAGTTTGATGTTCTTGGCTAGCTGTACCTCTTGCTTGGCTCTGTAAGGAGAGGGGATAGGATATTTCAGAAATGCCCAAAACAAGAGCTTTGCCTGGCATGTTCGCTATAAGGAGACCATTAGTATGTAATTCATTAAAACTTAATATAAAAATAAAGAGAGAGAGGGAGAGAAAAATTATCCAGGCAATCACAATGAAATTATTTTCTTAATAAGAATGAATAGATATATTGAATATTGGATAACATATATTGTTCTCTTGAGGTTAAAACAGTCTTAACAAAATATAGACAGGGGCAGGACAAGAGCACTTTAACGAGGGGGAGGGGGGGGGGGGCAGGTCTGAACATTTTCAAAGATCTCAGGTTTGGCAAACCCTCCCCTCCCCACAACATTCAAATTGTCATCCAGAGCACTCTCATGTCTGCAGTATTGACAGTGAGATGGAAGAAGATGAGACTTACTTTGTGACTCCTGGCATGGCTCCAACTGTACACACTTTATTTCTCTTCAGACTGTTGATTATGCTGCTCTTTCCAACGTTGGGAAAACCTGTTATGATCAAGTAGAATATAGCAACAAATTAAAGTACAGCCTCTCTAAAACAAAGGTCAACCTTATTGGTAGCAATTACTATTGAAGTAGCAATGACTTATGTTCTATTCTAAAATGTATATGACTGAAACTGCAGAGGATGATTTACAGATCTCCATTTTAAAATTTAAAAAAGAAATTTTCTAGAACTGCCCTAGAAATGATCTACACTGCACTACAATATGGCATAGTCATTTAGTCAGATACTGAGTTACACAATCAATTTTACTTTAACATGACTTGAAATTTGATATAAAAACAGTAACTTTCATGAGTTGCAGGAGTGATCCAGCTTGCCTAGATTTTGATGCTACAAAATGATTGAATTACATCAATCAAAGTTGTAATTGATGAAAGTGTTTTGCCCAAAAGTGGCCATTGTGAACAATTTTTTAAAACTTTTTGTTGCTTAAAGTTTATGGTTTTACAGCACACAATTTGCTGTCACACAAAATACCAGCATCAAATTAATGTCATGTAGGATTAGAGGAGTATATCACTTAACATCGCCACCATGGAAATCATTCATTTGTGCACGACAACTTACCAACTGTTCCTGTGAAATCATTTGTGTGTGATATCTTACCTACGATTCCTACAGTGATAGATGTTTTGATGTCTACATTCCTGCAGTAGTTACTGAGAAGCTTGATGAGAGAGTCAGCTCCTAGACAGTGACTGGTCTGAAGGAGTTCTGATGACGACATTGAGACGGGCACTTTGGACTGGGACTGGAAAGCAGGAGTAGAGGATCAGAGAGAACACAATGTTAAACGGGGGAACGTGTGGGTTTGAGCTTTCCATACACTCAAATAAACTCATATACCTCTTTTTAAGTGTAATCTTACCATGCAGAAGTTGGGCTGTTACGACTACCAAATTATGAACGAAGTGACGAAAACCTACTACAATCACATCCATAAAAAACACTAATCAAACCAGCGCATACAGAGACCTTGTGTTATGTACATGCAAGGACTCCTAACTTGGTTTCATTATTTGTATTTGCTCAGTACTAATTTATTGTTAATGAAAATTATTGTTCACTTGTAATCTTGAAAAATTCAGAGTAGATTATGTATGATATTATGAAAACGTATTTTCTGTTTTACAAGAACTCAAGATTATTTTTAAATCACACAAAGTAAACAATGGAAGTATGCAGTGATTGGTAGGGGGGGGGGGAGGGGGTTATAGGAGGAAATCCTGTTTATTTCTTGATCTTTGTAATTGTAAGTAAGCAAAGGATAGGAATGGTGCGACATAAAGACTTACAAGGTTTGACCTCTGAGTTTGTGTGGTAGCTTTGAAGGCTACTGCTGGGAACTCATTCCTAAGATGCTTCAGCCATTTCTCTGTGATCTCCCTTGGAACCAGATCTGATAAGTGAAGGACACAGAGAATAGCAAAGATAGACACATTGGCCCGAATTCACAAAGGAGGTTTGTCGACAAACCTTGGTTTTCGTACGTCATATGACGCGTTTTACGCGTTTTTTACAAACCTGGTTTGTAAAGAACAAAAGGAGGTTTGGCGAAACAAAAGGAAGTTTGAGCTCAAACCTTGCTTTGTGAATTCGGGCCAAAAGGTTTCTACACATGATAGCACAAATAACATAAGATTCTCCCTCCTCTTTATATCAAATAACTTTTACACACATACAGTGTGGAATATGTCAAAAAAATAAGTTGACCAAACTACTAATTTTAGCAACTTTTCCAATTGGAAGCAGGTTTTAAAGGTACAGGAATTATCACATCATCAGTGTTTTTAACAAACTTCAGAGTAGTTACAAACTATCAGAGGTGTCTAAAGTGGTGCTAAATATTCCTTTAAGCTATCATTGCTCCTAAAAGAGAAATTATGAAAATTGTGAAACAATCATAAATACAGAGGTTATATTTGTTTCATTTTAATCATCGATAACTTTGGGAATCGGGAAGAAATCATTCAAATCATGCCACCCTTACCGACTTTGTTGAGTAGGAGAACCAATTTTTTGTTGGTCCCTGATGCCAGCACAGCTTTCTCCAGCGCGATACACCTGGAGCCGATGGGATCCCTGGCATCCAAAACCTCAATCACAACATCAGAAGCCTCCAGGACCTTCTTGAACTCCTTATAGTATGCCTTGCGAGAGCTCTCCACATCCTGGGCTGCGGCACCTCCTTCCTTGGTCTTACCTCCCTCAGACTGTCAAGAAGTAAGCTGATTGTTATTTCTCTTAAAGCTCTCATTAAATTCTCCAGAAAGAAATGCTGAACATAAATGCAACAGTATAATTGGATCAGACTGAATTTTATGTAAATGTATTTCTATGCACTAAAGCATAAAATCATGTTTAGAGGGTGACATACATGTACAAGTATAATTCAGTAATGTATGGCAAAGCAAAATGAAGAAAAAAAAGATAACCAGCTTTCGTAACAACATACAAACAATATTATCATTGACTCCTAAACAACAGACATAGATATTTAGACATTATCAATATGCTTTAAGAAGTAATTGCATTTGTGCAGATTATATGTATAACTTCAGAATTTTACTGTCTTTATCATGATAGAACAGATATTTTACACATGTATCAAACTATTGCCAAAATATAAAGAAAGACAAAACAAATAACACAACAATATTTATGACACAAATTCTTGAATAATAACTGAAGCAGTATTAGTATTATTGGTAGTCAGGAGTGATTGTGACGGCTTGATAAAGATTAGAATCAACATTGAATTAATTTACCTTCTTCTCAAACAACTTTTGCCTTCGCTCTGCATCCTTCTGTAGGTGACTTAACTTGCGATTCTTCAAGAACTCCTTGTGTCTTACTTCTTTCTGTTTCTTTCTCATCTCCTCTGCCTATATGGTTAGAAAATGACATTTTAATCATATCAATTCATGCATGTAACTGTCTTTTCTACTTCATTGTAATTTCTCATTTTTGTTACTTTTTTCCTGTTTCTTTTTCTGAATCTTTTTCTCCTGTTTCTTCTTTCAGATATTGTCTTTAAATTTGACTTACCAAGGAAAGAAAAAGGTAAAACAATTAGCAGTTGAGTTTATAGTTTTGAAAACAAAATCTTAAAAATGGTTTACTTCTCTATTTCAAGTGCTTGTGTTGATGTACATCTGTAGATTATACTTTCTATACATATTTCTAAAAAAAGGTCATTATCTTGCTAAGATTTTTAATTGATTTCACTCCTGCCAAAAAAAACAGGCATAAGATTACATAGATACTCTCATCTCTCTCTCTCATTCTCAAAACAAAAAGAGAGAGAGTAGCATATTGGTGAAATTCACTTCAGCAGCTTAGAACCGATCTCATTAGTAGGGGTCTATGACTATAGATACATGGTTGCGATACGGGATAGATATTCATCCAGTGATCCGAGAGAATTAGTGCTGATCAAGGGCTCATAAGCATAAATTGACTAGACGAGACCTGCAATATCTTATCCATAGCCACATCATGGCAACAATTTTTTAATTACAGTATCGCTGTTGGTCAATTGTGACTAATGATTTCAATCCCAAAACCCTCAAGCTCAGATCCTAATAAATGTACTTGCCTTGTATTTTCGATCTTCAGCTTCTCTCAAGATGGCCTCTTTGAATGGAGCTAAGTTAGGAATCCCAAGATCTTTCTTTGGCCGTTGTGGTCCCTTCTTTTTTTCTTTTCTTTTTGTCTTTCTGTTATGCTCTTTCACCTTTGAAGCTATTTTGTACTTTAGCTTGCAAGTCATGCGCTTGCTTTTCATTTTACCTGTGGGAGTGGTGTGGTGTGGGGGAAAGAAAAGTAACAGAAAAACAAATGATAATAAGTGCATTTCTACTGTCAAATACCTCATTTCGGAAAAATTGCGATGTTTCACGCTCCCGTTTTCACTTGTGCAGAAACATCACCGACTGAAAAGCTCATTATGTTCTGTCTTGTGTTGGTTGGTAATGCGCATGAGCGGTCTTCCGATGCAAAAAAGCTTCTTCGACCAGCCGTTTTTATGCTGTGGCTGCTACAGTCTAAGGACGAAAGCTAGCATATGACCAGGACTCAACTTTATCTTTAAAGGGGAAGTTCTCCCTGAAAATAAGTTGGTTTTATTTTTTATTTTTTTTTTAAATATTTTTTTTTGGGGGAGGGGGTTATTGTCCTCAGGAGTCAGGGGTGGTTGTCCGTGGAGGGTAATTTTACCGTTGGTTATTAGCCAGGGGATGATTGTCCAGCAGAAGGGGTGCTGGTCTAAGAATAAGGATCGTCCGCATTAAATCGTTTTCGTAAACGCTGACAGACGTGTCCTAAAAAAATAAGGGTTGTCAGCGGCGATTCTTAATTCCGATCCGCGCGTATAATGCGCTGAATAACACTCATACAGGGCATTATACGGAAGCAGCACAATTACGGAAGTGCCAGTCAGAGGTCAACACCATTGTGTAGAGATCGTAAAGTTACACGCTGCACGTGAAAAGGGAGCTAGGCTGTATTGTTCAGGTAAGATATTTGCTATTATTTCGTTATTTTTACCTATGATTTTGAAATTCCGCAGGTAATTAGGAGTAGAAGTGGCATAAAAGTTATCGAGGCCACTGTCCAATATTGGTCGGGTGTGGTCGGGTGTGGGAAGGTGTGATTTCGGACACATTTTAGGGTTTGTTTACTTGGTTCTCCGCAGGGTGGTATGGGAGCTGTTTAAAGCTCGCTGGAATACAATATCATAAAAAACATTTCCAGCGAGCCCTTAAAGCTACATAGACTTAGACCAAAAGCTTCAGTCTCTCTGATTGTTGGTTGTTCCACTGAGACTACGTCTGGCTCCACTAGAGCCTCCGATTGTAGAGACTGAAGTTTGTCCTATGGGGACTGTACGGAACAAATGGTTAATATCAACTAATATCAATGTTTTTCCGAAAAATAGGGTAGAGTGCCCAGAATTCAGTCACTTAAGGAAGAATCGCTAATATTTTGAATTCTTACCTCTTTTATTTGGCAATCTACCCATCAAAAGAAAAGAAATGTATTCTTACTGGATTTTATAATCACTTAAAATATAGAATAATGATAAGTAAAATACTTCTGAAAGAAGTCGGAGCATTTTTCTGCCCAGAATTCGGTCATGCGATTTGTGCGTGGTATCTCCGTTGCTAAGGAGCGAAGCGTATTTGCGCACTATTTTCACACAATTGCGCATTAAAGTACTGAATGTGAATGTACTGGCCGAGCGATACCGCATGGCAAGGGTATCGTATAAATACCTCTTGCACATCGGCAAGTGCGTCATTTGCAAATTCGCTGCGATGGAGTGAACACGGAAGTGATTCTCTTCACACACATACTAAATTGATTGCGACAGCACACATAGTTGTTTCGCAATAGACTTCTACATATGGCTATGCATGTTAGCGCATGTGCTAAGACAACGCGGAAGTGCAGCAATTTCGAGCTAAGTTGGAGATCTTTCCGGGGCCCTAAAATCCGATTTAATTTTGAGAGTTAAGAAAAGTTGTTCAGCTGCCTGATTTGTGCAAGTTTTGTGGCTCATAAATTATTTTTTTAATTGTTACAGCTGTTGAAACGGCTGTCTGACCGAATACTGGGAATGGACCGAATACTGGGCGCGCTGCCTAGTCTAGACTCCAAAAATAACAAGAAAATTGACACGAAACCATTTTTTGCATTGCCAGCACACAGATCTGAATTCAGCAAACTCCCCATGCATGCCTATTTACAGAAATATAATCGCTATTGTTACAATTGAATGAAATAAACATAATGCACATGGATTCATGGAAGTAATAATAGTCTAAAGTCATGAAAGTTAGATCTATGCATTACAATACAAGAATTCGAACGTGTCGGACTGAATGAGACTGTTCATTTTTATTCGAGATCATTCTAAGAAAACGATTAAATTCAATGGTTATGGTGATTGCCAATGTATTTTAAGCAACTGCTATGTTAATTCTAAACTCTAATAAAAGGAAGAAACTTACGGGGTTGGCCTTTAGTCGGCATTTCTAAAACTTTTCCTTTGCAATCTGGCTACTAAAACACAAAGTTCCTGAAATGCACGTGTGTGAAATAACTAGTCGAGAATTTAAAGTCTAGGTACCTGAAAGCTTTATCGGCCCTTGACAATTCGGCCGTTTTGAGGGGAGGGATTTAATTTTTTTTGAAAGGGCACCCTGTTTCAACATTGTTTAGATAAAATATATACATTTATATTATTTAATAAATATAGTGCAATTAATTCCTTGAAATACTAGAGCACCATACTGACAGCCATGCTAAAGCAGGGGTAATAATTTCCAAAGCTCTCATTTGGAAGCGCATAGAGACGTTATAATGTGATATATGCGCTATTATACATACAAGAACCGAATATAATTAAATTATTATTATTAATTATGATTGGTTGGTTGTTATTTTTTTACCTGATTGTAAAGGGTACATGAGCATTTGTCTACATCAATAACCTACTTCTTGTGATGATCAAGATTAAACTGATTTAATCTTTGCGCAGCATAAAACGTATGACCATTCGGTACAATTTCTGAAAATCAAGACTATTAATTTTGGGGCTCGATTTGACAACTAATAGTCGTTATTTTCCCACTTGAAGACATTTTCAAGCCCCACCTTTTTTAGGGAAGTTCTAAATTAGTAATATCTTTCAAATGCAGTTGGAATTTAACTTTTTCATTTTTTGGACCTGCAAATGTGACATAGTACCAGTAGAGTGAAATAATTAATGAAAATGAAATATCCTAACCTGCACATCGAGCTTTTTACGGGACGAGTTGTCTAGGATCTAGAGCCAATCTCAGCTGCGCTAGCTAGCTAGCCGCTGTGGTGTACATGGTATGTATGGTGAAAGAAGTGATGACAGGTGATTATTATTGTCCGGTATTGAGTCTCCTCCGGGTTGATGCAGGCTCAGCTGCTTTTAAGTTAGAGATTTGTCCTCTTATTTCAACATTTGAGCAGTGATATTGGAGTGAACGTGCAGCTGTCTTGGTCAGTGAAGTCATTCAAAGTTTGCCTATTTTGTTGTAAATATAATGTCTTTCTAACTAACTTAGTTGTTCATTCTAATTGCTAACATGTGTGTGTTCATGTTTTGCAGTCTAGATCTAGTCAGATTCAGAGAGACGCAGTTGAGATTGAGAATGAGTGCGCCAAGTGCATGTCGAGTTCTGTGTGGGAAGTTAGTTTTGATTTGTGTGAGTGCTTGGTACTTTGTTGGTTGGTCCTCTAAAATACTCATCTGAGTTTTTAACTGGAGGTGCGGACAGGATTTGACCGAATTTTTCTGTCTCTTTACAGAAAAATTTGGTCTAGACCTAGGATAGGATGTGCTTCTCAAAACTTGATGTCTCAAAATCTATGACGACTCGACGACATATTTGTGGGAATATCTAATAACGTCTTGATACAAGACTATATATTTACAACGTTGAAACGACGACACGAAGTGAAAGTAAAACATAACCAAATCGTACTACCCTTTTGTGTCCATTCTCCTTTTGTCGTCTGAATAATACTACATGGTGGCAGCGGTATAAGTGAAGAACCATGGAAAGTTCTCGTCTACCATTGCCAGAAAGCTTTGATAAAGTTGCAGGCTTAAATCAAGCAGAACAATGGCCAAAATGGTCACGGCGGTTCGAGAGATATCGCGTCGCATCGGGCCTCGCATCCAAGCCAGACAGTGAGCAGGTTAGTACGCTACTCTATGCTATGGGTGAATGTGCCGATGATATTATCGTGTCTCTCAATGTGAAAGAGGAGACAGCAAAGTATGATGACGTGATCGCAACATTGAAGAAGTATTTCAATGTACGGAAAAACATTATTGTTGAAAGGGCAAAATTCAACAAACGAACACAACGCCCGGGAGAAAGTGTGGACACATTTATCAATGATTTGTACAGGCTAGCAGAGGACTGTGACTACGATAGACTTAAGGAGGGCTTGATAAGAGACAGAATTGTAGTTGGGGTGCTTGATGACTCCCTATCTGATCAACTACAGTCTAGAGAAGACCTAACTCTCTCAAAAGCAGTTCAATTGGGTAGACAGTCAGAAGCCCGGAAACAAAACAAGTCTGTTGTGAGGGGAGGTGCAGAGAGTGAGAGCCCTAACTCGGCCGTAAACTACGTAAGGCCTAAGAGCAAGGGAACGTACTCGAAGAAAACATCTCAAACTCTGCAGGGTAACTGTAAGTGGTGTGGAAGGCAGAATCATGCACGTGCCAGCTGTCCCGCAAAAGATGCAAAGTGCCATCAATGTGGAAAGATGGGCCACTTCCAGTCTGTGTGTCAAGCCAAACGACCAGAACAGGGAAAACAAGAGGCAGCAAAGCAAAAATGGAAAGCTCGAGTCAGCGAAGTAGATGATTTCGATGACATTGATGTCCCCTTCCTTGGTGAAGTCAGCGAGAACGATCAGACGTACTGGAGTTCATCGATCCTCGTAGATGGGAATGAAACACACTTCAAGTTAGACACAGGAGCAGCCGTTACTGTGTTGTCTGATTCCACTCCATGGCTGAATAAACACATCATGAGACCAACAACCAAGAGGTTACGTGGTCCAGGAAGTACAGTCCTGACTGTAATAGGACAAATGACATCAACTCTCAGGCATAGAGATAAACAGATCAAGGAGACTCTCTATGTGGTCAAAGATCAGGAGTCTTCATTGCTGAGTAGGAAAGCGTGTAGAACCTTGAATCTAGTCCGCAGAGTGGAGGAAGTTGATTCTTGTGATGATGAAACTGCAAACTTCAAGGCTGAGTTCCCTCAACTTTTCACTGGTTTGGGGAAACTGAAGACAGCATACCACATCACGTTAACTTCAGATGCCAAGCCGATGTGCCTGTATACAGCCAGGAAAGTTCCTCATCCGCTTCTACCGAAGGTGAAGAAAGAACTAGAGTCCATGTTGGAGCAAAATGTGATCTCAAAAGTGACTGAGCCGACAAAGTGGTGTTCGGGGATGGTTCCAGTGTTGAAGCCCAGTGGTTCGGTGAGAATTTGTGTAGACCTTACATCTCTCAACAAGGCAGTTGAACGAGAGATTCATCCGATGTCTTCAGTCGATGAAAGTCTAGCAAAACTGGGAAAGAGCACAATCTTCACAAAACTGGACGCCAACAGCGGGTTTTGGCAAATTCCATTGGAGGATGAGTCAAAGCTACTGACAACCTTTGTCACTCCATTTGGGAGATTTTGCTTCAACCGATTGCCGTTCGGGATAACGTCAGCGCCAGAAGTCTTCCAGAGAGCGATGTCCACTATCCTCGAAGGACTTGACGGCGTGATTTGTCACATGGATGATGTGCTAGTCCATGGTGCAACACAAACAGAACATGACATCAGAGTACGAGCTGTTCTACAACGTCTGCAGGAAGCAGGTATCACACTAAATCAGGGAAAGTGTGAATTCTCCAAACAGAGTGTGAAGTTCTTAGGGCACTTCATCGACGACACTGGTGTCAAGGTCGATCCGAGCAAAACAAGAGCTATTCGAGATTTTCCAGTTCCTCGAAGCGTGAAAGAGCTACAGAGGTTCATGGGAATGGTGAACCAGGTGGGAAAGTTTCTCCCAGGATTAGCTGAGATCAACGAGCCCCTTCGTCAACTCCTGAAGAAAGACAATGTGTGGTGTTGGGGAGAAGCGCAGCAGAGATCTTTCACACAGATCAAAGAGATGATGGTCTCGACAGCAGTCTTAGCTCATTATGATCCAGAACTGCCAACAGTCATTGCAGCAGATGCATCCGGGACTGGAATGGGTGCAATCCTGTATCAAGTGCAGACTGATGGAAATCGTAGACCAGTGTGCTATGCATCTCGATCGCTTACCGAGACTGAGCAGAGGTATGCAGTGATTGAAAAAGAGGCACTGGCAGCTACTTGGGCGTGCGAGAGGTTCTCCGAGTATGTACTTGGTCTTCATTTCGAGGTGGAAACTGACCACAAGCCATTGGTCACACTTCTAAACTCGAAAGAACTTGTGAAAATGCCTCCACGACTCCAACGCTTCAGAATGAGAATGATGAGATTTGATGCAGAGACATTGTATGTTCCAGGAAAACAGCAGACATCCGCTGACGCCTTGTCACGAGCGCCAGTAGAGAGGCCAGGAATGGATGATGTCAACTTCGTAGATGAGGTTGAATCATATGCATCAACATCAGCCATCAACCTCCCAGTGACAATGCAGAGATTTGAGGAAATCAGAAATGCACAAAAAGCAGATGAAGTATGTGCAAAAATCAGAGACTACTGCGTTCAAGGATGGCCAGACTACATGCCACATAACCCGATCCTCAAACACTACTATGAGCAGAGAGGACACCTGAGTGTGGTAGAGGACTTGCTTATCTACGACGAGAGAATAGTCATTCCGAGAGCTCTGCGACTTGATATCCTTGAGAGGCTACATCAAGGACACCTGGGAATCACCAAGTGCAGAGCCAGAGCCAGAGATTCAGTGTGGTGGCCAGGTCTATCAAAATCATTGGAGGAAATGATTTCAAGCTGCTTGACCTGTGCTATCCATCGCCAAGAGGTCCGCGAGCCTTTGATGAGCTCATCCTTTCCTTCAAGGCCATGGGAGCGTCTTGGAATGGACCTGTTCGAACTCAAAGGGAAATCGTTCCTGATAGTAGTTGACTACTACTCGAGGTGGATTGAGGTCAAACAACTCCAAGGTCAGTCAACAATGGCAGTGATTTCTTCGCTGAAGGAGATCTTTGCAGTCCATGGGATTCCAGACCTTGTGGTTTCAGACAATGGTCCACAGTTCGCCAACGAGAACTTCAGAAAGCTTGCTGAAGAGTATGGATTCGTCCATACAACCAGCTCTCCAAAATACCCACAAGCTAATGGTGAGGCTGAAAGAGGAGTTTGCACTGTGAAAGCGTTGCTGAAGAAGAACGACGACATCCAGTTAGCCCTTCTCAGCTATCGAGCGTCACCACTCCAAAACGGGTTAGCTCCTTGTGAACTTCTCATGGGGAGGAGATTGCAGACTCAGGTTCCTACTTTGCCGCACATGCTGCTGCCACGGGTACATCAGCCGGACCTGACGAC